TAGTCAAGAAATTAATGTCGCGTTTGGGAACACTTTCATTAACCACTCACAAAAAAACGTACATCACGTATAACAGTTAAACGAACCGCCTAAACGTCTCGTTAGTGTAACCTAAGTAATGTGTAAAGTTTAGTTTACTCTAATCCCTTATAATGATGGCACACGACGAGACACACATTTGGCGAATAATGCTGTTTGAATACAAGAAGGGAAACAACACTTCTGTAGCCACAAAGAATATCAAAGAAGTTTATGGAAATGTTTTGAACGTTCGTAAGTGTCAACGATGGTTCAACAAATTTCGTTCAGGTGACTTTAGCCTTAAAAACTGTGATGACAGGGGCCGACATGTTGGAATTGATATTGATGCTCTGAAGACTCTTGTTGAGTCTAACCCAAGGCAACACACTCGTGAAATGGACCTGAAATTGAATGTCTCTCATGAAACAATACGTAAACATCTAAGGAATATGGGAAAACTCTATAAAGAAGGTGTTTGGGTTCCTCACGAACTCTCCGATGATCATCAATTTTAACGTGTGAATGTTGCTTCGTCTCTTCTGGCGCGTAATGCGCGTGATCTAGCTTTGGACAGAATTGTCACCGGTGATGAAAAATGGATTCTCTATGCGAATATTAAACCCCAAAAACAATGGCTCAGTCCTAAAAAACACCTTTCCGATTGACGAGTGAAGGGCGTTTCTGATCAAGGGCTTTATTTAAACGTTCCGGTTGCTGACTATACATCTCTGCATTGACAGTTCGCTGTGGATTGAGAAGTTCGAAATGAATTACTCCTTTGATGTCCTACCAAATGCAAAGCATCACTTTATGCGGATGGAGTCCAGGTTATGGGGTCGGAAGGGTTTTTCGCTTCTCCACGACAATGCACTCCACATGTGGCACGTTTGACGCAACACAGGATAATGGAGTTGGGTTGGGAAATTCTCCCCCACCCACCATATTCTCCAGATATGGCACCATCAGTCAATAAGGGTGCCACATGTACTATCTAGAAGGGAAGAATGTTGTTACTTAACGCAATTTAGGTAGTAAGCGGCCGTGATTTTTCCTACTGGCAAGTTGGATGATGCCCCAGTGTTATAACATCCCTTACTTTAAAATGGAGGTGCCAGGCAGTCAAGTGGGTAACAGTTTCGCTCTGACAATAATGGCATTGTTGTTGTTGGTATATAATCCTACGTTCTCTTAGCTTGGAAAAACTTCTTTTAATTTAATAACTTCTGAGAGCTAAACAACTACAGAGATAATTTGAACTTCAACTTGATTCGATTTTACCTTTAACCTTAATGTTAAAATCTTTCACATACCTTAATTTAACATAACATCTTCATCCAGTAAAGGAACCACACTTACACTAGTCTTCTTTTACTTTAATTGTTGTGTGATTTAAATAAAGATTGTTTTACAGTGTGTGAACTTGTATTCAGTCCGTTTCTCTGTGTTAGACTCAGTCGAGGTCAGAGAAGTCGGAGAGAAATCAGTGAATCTGAGAATATCACATAGCCGTAACGAAAGACCCATGGTTTTACGACACTTATGAAGGAAATTACTACTCAAATTCTTCATTTTAGTAGTTCAAATCCTAGAGCGAATTACCACCGCAGGAAGTAACTTCCGACGTTTAGCTTTAGCCCTTAAGCTTACTGCTTAACCACCAAAGGGCATGTTTAAGATGTCTAATAACACGTGAATAATACAAAAGAACACCATTACCCATACTAACAATGCAGCTATTGTAAACAGGTTATCAGTACGTATTTCGTCACAGGTATTTAGACATGGAATTGTATGTTTTACTATAGTAGCACTAATTTAAGATAAATAAAAACTATAGCAATGCATATGACCTAACCTTTCCCATAAAACCCGTTGCTCCTGTAATAAGAACAGCACGATCTTGATAAAAAGCTGCAATAGGAGAAGTGTCCTCTTCAGCCATTTTGAGATGCTATTCCAGTCTCTGCCTTTTATTGTTTGTCACCTTTAAAAAAACATAACACACACAAAAATATTAACACTTGTGTTACTGGCCATATTTAGGAAAGAGAAAAATATTAATACGTAAATGTTAAAGGTACGATCACCTTTACGGAACACAACAATAATGAGAATAATAATATATATATATATAAAACTGCTCGTCTTCAACATGTAAAGGGCCTAATCATCAATTGCTTATTCTAAGCTAATTTTATAGTCTAGGGATGAAAGGTCACGGCATGAGATAAGCAGCCTTACGAGTACCTTTTCTACACCCACAGAAGAAGATGTTCCTTGTGTTGGGTAAACGTTCAGCGCAATTAAGTTACCTAGGTAACAAAAAATGAATATCTAAACATACGATTAATAACAATTAATTAATCACAAGTTAAAACATCTATATATATTTACTAAGTCAATAATTGAAAGACGTTTCTTTCCGTTATCAAATCCCTTGGATGGCAATCTGGAGCAAAGAATCCCTGTAGCATTTCTGAGAAAACGTCTTCACCTGAAACTACATACGATATATTTGGATGTGCGACATAATAAGTGAGAATTTTATAATATACTGCTGAATTCCTTCTTGTCCATTAACTTTAATAAAAATATCTCTCTGACATCATCAGCACGATCTTATGCATATAATATTCTAGTAATAAATCGCATTATGAACGCATTGTCATCAGGCCGTCAAATATACTATTTTGTTGTTGTTGCTGCTTGAAGTTAAGCACAAAACAACAGAATGAGCTATCTGTGCTCTGCCCACTACGGGTACCGAAACTTGGATTCTAGTATTGTAAGTCCACAGACATATGTATTATATTTAAGGCTTTCTATATTTTCTAATATTTCAATGAATTTTTCTGTAAAAAAACTTAAAACAAAGCTGAAGTTTATCGTCACTGCAAGGTTATAAAATAAGCAGAAAAACAAATAAAATTTTTAGGCTGACCCAAATAAAAGTGAAAATTAATAATTTTCATTTTTGCATACATATTATCATTAATAAAACTAAAGAAGATTAACAACGGATTACTCATACATACATATTATCATTAATAAAACAAAAGAAGATTAACAACGGATTACTCAAACATACATATTATCATTAATAAAACAAAAGAAGATTAACAACGGATTACTCAAACATACATATTATCATTAATAAAACAAAAGAAGATTAACAACGGATTACTCATACATACATATTATCATTAATAAAAACAAAAGAATATTAACAACGGATTACTCATACACACATATTATCATTAATAAAAACAAAAGAAGATTAACACGGGTTACAAAGACATAGTATTACTAATAGTTTGTTTGTTTTTGAATTTCGCGCAAAGCTACACGAGGGCTATCTGCGCTAGCCGTCCCTAATTTAGCAGTGCAAGACTAGAGGGAAGGCAGCTAGTCATCACCACCCACCGCCAACTCTTGGGCTACTCTTTTACCAACGAATAGTGGGATTGACCGTCACATTATAACGCCCCCACGACTGAAATTGCGAGCATGTTTGGTGGGACGGGGATTCGAACCCGCGAGTCGAGCACCCTAACCACCTGGTCATGCCGGGCCCATTACTAATAGAAACAAAAGATTAACAAATTTTAATCTGGATTTAAATGACATGTGGATTTATTTCAACAACTTTCAACGTATTTTTATAATTCACTTCAACTTTTTCTAATCTGGATAAAACAAATTAATAAATAATTATCGAGAAATATTTCCCGCGCTCTATATTATTAATTTTTATGTCGATTCAAATTATCTAACTTTAACTACAATAAACTTTTTAATATAGAACAAAACAACTCAAGTTGCTCCCAATGGCACAGCGATATGTCTGCGGACTAACAATGCTAGAATTCGGGTTTCGATACCTATGGTGGGCAGAGCACAGACAGCCCATTGTGTAGCTTTGTACTTAATAACAAACAAACTCAAGTTACTATATTTTTAATAAACAGAGTTATTAACTAGCCTTTATAAATGTTTTAAGCCTGAACACTAACCTCCGAGGTTTACAATATTCAGTTTGCCCACTTTTTCCGTGAGCAACATCCGAGACTGGTACAAAGAGCACTTGGCAGATTAAGTCTTTGAAGAAATGTATTTGCTTATCACGAGATGGCGCTTATTCTTTCTACCTGCACAGGGAATGGGGCAGGCATTGACCTCTTTTATGTAAGTCACCCATTCGTTACAACTTTCTATTGATACTTCTGCTTGTCATCAACGACGTCCGTATTCCAGGCATAAAATATTCGCTATCACTTACCCTACTACAAGCAAGTTAGGAAAATGATACACTAAAAAACTATATCAATTTTCCATTTCTTTCAGCCTATTATACTAGCTTATCGTATGTGTATATCTCAATGATATTACGAAGTATATGAGTAACAACAAAATTACATCCAGTGGCGTCATTTTTTTCTTTACAGTATGAATATGTCACGAATAACTGAACATAGTATTTCGATCTGTCTATGTTCATGTGTGATCTTATACAATTATAATATCATTAAAAGCCGCCATGTACGGGCTAGACTCTGTCTGGGTTCACTACGCTGGAATAGAAGATTCCAGGCATTTTCATTAAACTTAAACTTCGAAGAATGCGTACAACAAACTCCAACAATGTATATCGATAACGCTAAATATTATATGTACATGGAAAAATGTGCAACGTAGGCTTCCAAAGATAGAAAAACATTTTCTAATCATAACAGTACGTATCTTCCATACTGAATTACGGCACACCCGATATTCAAATAACACCGTAGTAACGTTGTATAATCTACTTTTTTCTCCTGGAGATATTGTTTCTATGCCGGTATAAAGCATATATAATTTACTCTACACACCTTGAGATTCCTGTTTTGATGATATAAAGGCTATATAATTTACTCTAAACACCTTGAAATTACTGTGTTGATGATATAAAGCCTATATAATTTACTCTACACACCTTGAGATTACTGTGTTGATGATATAAAGCCTATATAATTTACTCTACACACCTTGAGATAACTGTGTTGATGATATAAAGCCTATATAATTTACTCTACACACCCTGAGATTACTGTGTTGATATAAAGCCTATATAATTTACTCTACACACCTTGAGATTACTGTGTTGATGATATAAAGCCTATATAATTTACTCTACACACCTTGAGATAACTGTGTTGATGATATAAAGCCTATATAATTTACTCTACACACCTTGAGATAACTGTGTTGATGATATAAAGCCTATATAATTTACTCTACTATATGTTTTGTATATAGGAAGCAATTTTGGGCTCCGATAACACGAGCGCTGGAATCACAGTCGACAATCCAAACGTTGAAGGTTTCCCTCTCTCCCCCACCCCTTCTATACGTCATCTTAGATTATCGAAGGACTGCCGACAACACAAGTTTAAATACTTATGAAAGATATCAAGAACATGCAACACACATTCTTCTCGTGGAACATGTACAAGATATGTCGGAGTTATCACTTCTGGTAACCTGATCATAGTCTAGAGTTCTAAACAAATAGTAGAACGGGTGTACCTTGTGAAATAAACTTGCGATTCCTCAAGCATTTTTTTTCTAGAAACGAAAACCAAAGGACATTTTGTTTTCAAAAATAATAGCCCAAAGCAGACATGTTGCAAAATTAATTTTTTCAATTAAATTCTGTATATACTTTCAAATAGCAAGATTTCAAATGGAACCCTTTCAACCAAGAAAATATGTCGGTGCTTACATATGTAGCTATTACAATAAACAAAATACAAAATTAATAAATAATATTAATAAAATGTATTAAACATATTTTTAAAACAGGCAATAGCCTCCGCAATGGCTCAGCTGTAAGTCTACAAGCTTACGACGCTAAAAGTCAAGCGGTGGGCAAAGCACAGATGACCCATTGTGTAGCTTTACGATTAACAACAACTAAACCAAAATAAAACAGTAAGCAACGTAATCAAATACTTAATTAAAAACAAACAAGTGTATCTTGAAATAATCTAGAAAAAACATACATTGTTTTAAGATCACAGAGCAAACAACCTATTCATGTGTAAATTTACAACCCCTGATCCGTTTCATTCATAAATTACTCTTTTAAACGTTCGTTCGTTTGTTGAGTCTCGCGCAAGGCTCCTTGAGAGATATCTGCGCTAGCCGTCCTTAATTTTGAAATGACAGACTAGAGAAAAGGCAGCTAGTCAATACCGCCAACCACAGACTCTTGGGCTACTCTAACCGAATAGTGGGACTGAACATCACATTATAACGCTCCTCACGACTCAAAGGGGTGAGAATGTTCCGTGATTGGATTGGAACCGCGACCCACAGGTTGCAAGTCGAGCGCCCTAACCCCCAGGTCAACAAAGCAAGGACACAAATTATATATACAAGTGAGTATTGATATTAAAGTTATTTTGCATAAAATTTGAAATTTAATTAATAAGGTTTTGTTTTATGCAACTCTGCTATAAGACAGGTGCTTAATATAGAGTATAACTGGCAATTGTAAGACACAAATTTACAAGCAGCATATTCGAAACTAACTTTCTATTTTATAAGAGCGTTTTTGTGAGGCGTGTTTATATGTGAATTATATCTTCCTATAGTTTAGCTTGAAATTTAACTTTTTTTTAATTCACGACTTTACGGAAGGTTTTAGTTTAAAAAGGTATATATGTTATTGATATTTTACAAATATCACTTTAGGGTTGTCACATCTGTGGTAGATACAAATCTGGACAGTGTCTACCTCCCAATTGCTTGGTTGGGTTGGCTGGCCGTGTGGGATTACCGATGCTACAGTCATGCAGTAAAGCAGAACTGTCGCGTTCCCTAGTGACTAAACTTTAAATCTGCAGACTTAAAACGCCAAAATTCGAGAACCGATTCTCCATGGTGGACAAGTGCCGATAAATCACGAGTATATTCCTGATTTGAGTTACAGTTTTGTTCTTT